TGGACTCCCCCATGACCAACATAGGTTCGAGTCCCAGACCTGGCAGCTCGCTTCGTCACTTTCTCTCTCTCTCTCTCCCCACCTCTCTCACTCTGTCTCTCTCTGGTCAAATTAAAATAAATAAATAAAGTTAAATAAAATAATTTAAAAATCAAAAGGATGACTCAAAGTTAAAAAAAACTATAATGGAGGGGACATCAGATGGTGTAGCAGTTAAGTCACTTGACAAAACAAGATACTAAATGGAGAACCAAATTTCATACTAAACACAAAAACTGCTAGAGATTATCCAACTTTTTATTAGTCTACCATTAGGGTAAAAAAGCCACTTCTTATTCTATTTTATTCTACTATCCACTCCCCAAATGAAAGGTGAATCACATTGCGTACATAGAAACTATTGTTATTGAAGTCAGTTAAACAACAAAACAACATCTATCTTTGTTCTCCAATAGCAAAATGTTATGACCTGCAACAAATTTCATCCAACTTTGTGTTTGATATCTCTAGAAACAGAGGAAACATGTTTTTTAAAGGTTTACTGATGTCCCAGAACGTTGCTAGATGTCTCAGAATGTTGCTAAAAGACAGAGTATGCTAAAAGATGGGTAATATAGCTATAAACACTCAGATCAAATGCCTGTAGGACAACTGGGTGAAACTAGCATGTTTAAGAGTAGTAAATTACAAAAAATAAAAAAACAACCAAACAAACAAAAAACAGGTTTCCAGGTTAAAGAATTGGCTGAGTTAAAGCCTTATTAAAAGTTTTCTTTGGAATAGCCTGACCATCATTTCCACCCTGTATTCACAATGAATGACCAGCATACAGTAACTGGTTAGTTTACTCCAAAAAGCCAACTGTTGAGGTTCTAAAGACATCGTTCAGTTTAATCAAAATGTGACCCAGCAGATGAACACTAAATTCAAAGAATGTCTTCTGCAAGCAAAGACCAAGTTAAGGATATTTTCTATTGGTGAAATCCTCTAGGAAGTATTGTCAGTGTTCTACTGATTAGAACTTAAAACAGAATTTTACAGACAGAGGGGATCTTAGAAACAGCTAGTTCAATTCATTTTACAGATGGAAAACTTGAACCTAAAATGGTTGAGGTTAAGCAAATGTTTTAAGACTCCTGAGTTAGTAGGAAAAAACTAATATAAGCAAGGCAGGAAATGACTGCCCTTAGTACATAATGCATGGAAATGCTTTTAATAGAATTTGACCAGCTTATAAAAATCATTTCCTTTTTCGGGGTGGGGGTAGGGGTTGATGTTGTGTGGCAACATTTAATTTTTTCCTATGATAAAAGTATATGTTTATGGGAAAAATAAATAAGGAAGCACAAAAAATAAAATAAGCCTTCAAAACATTTTTAATAGTTTTTTCAGGCTTTTTCTATTCAAATAAGCAGGGCTCCAGAGGGGTCACCCCAGAGGGCGTGCCAGAGGGGGTGTGTGAGTGACTCTCAGGAGCTAATTGGAAGGCACGTTTTTTGGCATAAAGCATAAAGCAAAGGGACAGGATAAGCTAGTAACCAGCTGAGCTCTGGTACTGAGAGTGGTGCAGGAGAGAGGTCTTTTATCTCTTTATTTTACTCTGTAAAAACTTGCCACGGTAGGACCCTAAAGGTGGGTTGGGGAGAAAGGATAGAGAGAAAAACAAAAAAGAACAGTTGAAGTGAACTTGCTGAAGCAACCTAGAACCAAAAACCAGACTTCTCTCCACAGATAAGGTCTCTTAGCTTCCTCCTGAAAGTAAGGCTGATCTTGGACCCTGATTGGTGATATGCTTTGGCCTCTCTGGAGATAAAATTTGAGTGCTCATTACCAGACAACTTGAAATAACCTTGTGTAAACAGCATAGGAGATGGATCCTTTAAAATTGTTGTCAGGGCCTGCACTAGTCGTGGGACTCCCTGAAAACCAGATTCCACCATGTTTTGTACATAGAGGCCTTTAACAAAGACACAGTAGCACAGAGCACCTTTGCTTCTCAGGCACATCAGTCACTCTGACAGACCCCAAGACCCTCTGGACCTGCAGTGGACCCCTGGACTACAGCACCCTACTATAGCTGAGTCAGTTACAACGGCAGCTGATACAATCACTGTGACATCTTACCGTGGTTTGGTGATTTCTCAGATATCTCCAATGATCTCCCAAGTTTTAAGAAGTTGTTTTTAGCAATTTAGCTCTGTTTCATGTAAGGCAACTAAACCAAAAGGTATTCAAGAGTTGAAAACGGTGGCTCATACGGCTCTAACACCAATGAGATGACTTAGCAGTGTAATAATTGAGTCTCTTATTTTTATGCTGGTGACTGTGTCTCCTTGTCCTATAAACACTGAACAGGAGACGCATGCAGAGCTGTGGAATTCACTCTGCACTGAGCAACAAAGGGTGGACACAGCCTGAAACCAGCAGCTGGTATGCACATGGTCCTCCACATTATCAACTTCGGAAAAAGATGCTGCTTTATGGCCTCGGATAAAAATACATGTAAGCAAAGCAGAATGAAACACTTCAACACACACAGTTCAACAGACAACATGTTTGACACTAAGTCAGGAAGGTTATATTTAGGGTTTAAACTAGTCCCTGAATACCCTTCGTTAACACGAAGGGGGGAAAAATGGGTGAATGAGAACTTGAGCTTTCCACAGATCACAGTTCAAATCCTCTGAAATCAGGAGCAAGGTCAAATAAAATGAGAACTCAACCCTCTAGAGCAGTAGCTCCTCTCACTGGTGCCGGCGCAAGGCAGTCGTGATTCTGAAGTTTAATATATCACATAGAACACTATAAAAATAAGCTGAAGTTTTAAGGAAAGTCCGTTGTGGTGAAGGTTTGAGATTGAGTACTATAACTCTGGGCTCTTGATAACTACACTGGAGTGAAAGCCCACAAAAGTACAAGAGGTATCCTAACCCGCACATCAGCTGCTGACAGGCACGTCTGATGTAACACTTACAGAAAACCATGTTACACGTACATGTCAAAGAAAAAACTGCCTTCGATCTTTGTAACAGAAAGTGACCTAACAACATTCACTGAGATGGATGCAACTTTCTCACTGCCTGTTTTGGTTTGCATGCTATCCAGAAGGAGGCAAGGAAAGGTACTACTTTCTACCAAATAGTTTTCTTTTTAAAGAAACAAGGGGGTGCTATACCCCTGCATCAGTACTTCGTGGCTGGAAGCCCTCCCTTCAGAGGCTAACCATGTCAAAGCAGGTAGAGACTTCACAGTGCACTAATAATGTATCATCCTTAACAAAGGTTCTTTGTTAAAACAAAGATGCATAAAAGTTACATAGCCAAAACCTTTTGGGTTCCGTGGGATTGTGGGTCGCTGGAAGGCAAGCAGCTCCGATTTGGCATCCATTATTTCTTCATGGTTTTGCCTTACAGGTGCTTCGGACTGATCCAGGATGGTAAGGAGTATTGTTCCCTGGAAGGGCCAAGGGAGGTGGCTGTCATACTCTCCTTGCATTGTGTGGACAAAGAGAGATATGTAGTTCGCACAGCGCTGGGCCGTGGGTAACTGCAGGTGCAAGCGCATGCACAGTTTGTACCCGGGTTTGCCTGTGTAGAATCCAGGGCTATGGATGACGACAGGTTTCTCCTCTTCCTGAGACTTCAAGTGCATCCCAAAGTTGCCAATCTTCCAGACATAAATCCCATTGCACTGCTGTGCTTCAATTTCAGCGACTTTGTCCTCAAGGGTTCGAATAGTTCGTTTGAGATCGCTTACATACATACTCTGAGTTTCCATCTTAGCAGTCAGTTCCCGGATCTGATGGTCTTGTCTTACAAGGCGACCCTCTAACTGCTGAATAGTTTCCTGGAAATTCTGGACCTCTGGGTGACACGAACAGGAAACCCGGGGCTGGGAGGCAGAATCGTATGGGAGCAGATCAGGCTGAGGGATGGAAGTCAGGGCAAGGCTCAAACTGTGAACAGCCTGGGCCAGCATTCTCATGTGCGACTGCGTATTCTCTTGCAGGTGTCGTGCCAAGTGGTTCCTCTGCATCTGCAAATCAAACAAAAGCCTTAGGTCAGGAACAGATGCTGTGAGGACCAGGAATGCATCTCGGTCTGGCCAAATAAGAGGTTTTTAATCAGTGTCATCATTTCCCTCAACCCTCTGTAACTTTCTTTTACCCTTTGTCAAAATCTCAATTAAATGAGGTGATCCTGCCTTTTAATTCACTGAAAAACTGAGGCTCTCTGCTAAATATTTTAAGGTTTTGTTTTTTTTTTTTTTTTTTTTTTTTGCCGTAGGGAGTGTGCGCTCACCAGAGAAAGAGACGGGGAAAATGAGAAATCACCCCTGGAAGGATGACCACACTGCAATCCTTTCTCCTCCGTTTTCCTCTCAGGATTTGGGGCATACATGCACGCACACCCAGTGTGATTTTTCAAGTCACCAGGCCCAGGACTCGAATCATGGTCAGCTACATGGGAGTCCAGCGCCTTAACCACCATGCCAAATGCTAGCCCCTCTGATGAATACTCTCAAGCTTCTAGTCCCACCTATAGGCATACCAGTCTCTACACTCATCCTTCTCTTCTGACTCAGAGGTGATTCTCCTCTGGCCCAAGAATAATGTCCTACCTATGCCCTAGACAGTACCCAACTCCTCTCAACATCTGAGGTTATCCCCTTTCTCCTTCATGTTCAAACATTCTCTTCCTTTTTCTTCAGAATATAATTATTAAAATCTTTCCCACTGGAGAGGAAAAAAGGCAAACCTCTCTACTGAGCTTACGTAGTTAATACCATTTTCTCCCTCTTCCAAGAGAAGCCTACCTGAATTGAGCCCAATTTGTTTATTTTACAAATCTATTGCAAATTGGAATCTTTCCTCTTTCCATACTATTCCAAGATCATCAATGACATCCCGTTAAATGTAAAATATCTATAACAATTTTTATTAAAGAAACTCATGTATACTACAGAAAAATAAAAGATACAGGTGATCAAAAGGAAGTTACTTATTATCTCACCTAACTTTTATGAACATTTTAATACATTTCCTTCAAGTCTTTTTTTCTTCTCTTCCTACTTATTATCTCACCTAACTTTTATGAACATTTTAATACATTTCCTTCAAGTCTTTTTCTTCTCTTCCCTTTACACACTTACTACACACAATTTTGATCACATCATCCACTAACATCACAAGTTACTGCCCCAAATCAATAATCTTGAGTCCCAATTTTTCTTTGAAGCTTTAAAGAACATATACGATGTGTGTCTTTTATCTGTTGTCTCCACCTGGGTGTTCCATAGCTAGATAAATTCATAACTGCAACTCAGTATTATTAAAATGAAATTTTTTGTTTTTCTTTGGAGAGGTTTTTGCTAGAGGGTGCGTGTGCTTGCCAGAAAGACTGGGAGAGACAGAGAGACAGAAAGCGAGAAATCACCCCCCGGGGGGATGGCCACGCTGCAATCCCTTCTCCTCCATTCTCCTCTTGGGATCGTGGGCACGCACACACGCACGCATGCACGGTGTGAGTTTAAACCACCAGGTCCAGGCCTCAAACCGCGGTTGGCTACATGGGAGTTCAGCAACATAGCCATTATGCTAACTGCAGGTCCCAATTCTTTTGTTTTTAATCTCTCCCTCTAAACAGTTTCTTTCGTGTTCACTATTTTTTTTCTTTGAGAAAGATTTTTTGTCATCGGGCATGTGCACTCACTGGACAGACAGAGAGCAAGGAATTACCCCCAAGGGGGATGGCCACACTGCAATCCTTTCTACTCCATCCTTTCAGGATTTAGGGAATACACACACATGTGCCTGGTGCGAATTTTAAGCCACCAGGTCCAGGACTCGAACCAGTCAACTACATGGGAGTCCAGCAACGAAATCATTACACCATCTGCTGGTTCCTTTTTTTTTTTTCCCTGAATAGATCAGTGACCAGGACCAGAGTCATCCCATATGCCTTCTTCTCCTTCACCAGTCACATATATTTAAACAGTCACGAGATCATACCTCCTAAGGATGTAGTGGCTCCCAGATCCATTCATGATTATCACCATGAACTCATTCTGTCAAGTCTTTCTGAATACTTGTATTGCCCTGCTACTTCTGCTCACAGTCTTTACACACAACTTTATTATGTAACTCATCACTCCGCTTTATAAATATTTACATTCTTGTTGGTACTATCCACTACACTATGTAACTGAGTATATTTTTATTTATTTTCAAGAATTAATAGGACAAAAAACTTACCTTTTCGTGGCAACCAAAAGTGCTGAAAGTGCATGGAATTGGGGCCGTAGGGCAATCTAAATCATAATGATTAGGCATCTGAAAACCAAAACAAAGGTTGAAAGATGTTTCTTCCCTGCACATGTTCTAATTTGATCAATTCACCACTTAAAATGAAGAATTACAGTTCACCTCAGCTCAACTCAACTATGTAGTATCTATGGCTGCTTTGGAGCCACACTGGCAGAGTTAAGTAGCTACAACAAAAACTGTGTAGCCCACACAGATTAAAACATTTATTTCCAGGACTAGCAGGTGGCATAATGGTTACATTGCTGGACTCCCACATAATCAAGTGCAGTTCGAGTCCCAGATCTGAAAGCTTAAAACTCATGCAGGTGTGTGTGTGTGTTGGCCCAAGATCCCAAGAGGAGGATGGAAGAGAAGGTACTGTGGCGTAGCCATGTCCCCTGGAGGGTGAATTATTGCTTTCACTCTGTCTCTCTGGCAAGCACACATACCCTATAGCAAAAATTTCTCCAAAATACATACACACATATACATATATTTACTTCCAAAAGTTACAAAGAAAGAGAACATCAACATCTCATAATATCCCCCGCCCCCCCCCAAAAAAAACACTCAAAAATTCATTTCAAGATAATGAATTTGTTCCTGCTATTGAGAACTGACACCCTCTAGTGGTATTTTAGACCAAAAAGAACACCTGGGACCAGAATATAGTGTAATGGCTATGTTGCTGGACTCCCACGTAGTCAACTGCAGTTTGAGTCCCGGACCCAGCAGCTTAAACTCATGCCAGGTGTGTGTGTGTGCATGCCCATGATCCCAAGAGGAGAATGGATTGCAGCGTGGTCATCCCCCATGGGGGATGATTTCTCACTTTCTGACTCTGTCTCTCTCTGTCTTTCTGGCGAGCGCACATGCCCTATAGCAAAAACCTCTAAAAAAAAAAAAAAAAAACCCCCAAAAAAAAAAAAAAAAAAAAAAAAAAGAATACCTTCTGACAACCAGTAGAACTCTCAACTCAGCCAGGGCTCTCACTGTGGTCCTTCTAGGCCATTAATAGGAACCAGTCCACTCCGTGCACTGGAACCACTAACCACTAGCTATACCCCTTACTTCGCTCACAGCCACTTTCCATAAATAACCTTACTCTGCTAACCCAGGAGTATTGTAGCTATAATGGGGAGACTCAGGTCTGTTGGGAACAACTTCAAGCACATTAGTAAAGGCTCTACAGAAAGTCTCAGGCTTTGATTTAGGAACTCTAAGACATGTTCCTTCAAGTGAGATCCACTGCACAAAATCATATTCTTATAGAGTGGTGCCAAATTCTCTTTAGAAATTTAGTTTAATTTAGGCTCTAGATGAAAATACTTGAAAGACAAACTACCTTAGGGAACACTTAATCCAATCCTTCACTTCTCAGGAGAAAACAATCTAGAACAGAAGTCAGCAAAAAGTATTTTATAAAAGGAAAGACAATGAATGTGAACAGTATGGACTCTGTCCCAAATTCTCGCCTCTACCATTATGGTGCAAAAGCAGCCACACACATGATACGTGACACATGGGCATGGCTGTGTCCCAACAGAACTTTATTTATAGACACGGGCAGTGAAGAGATGGGGCTGGCAGCCTGGTGTGCTGATCTATGATCTGGAATGCCAACTTGCCAGAGACCGAAGTGCAAATCAGTAGCATGGCTTGGAACAAAACCTAGGTTTTCTGACTCAGCCTTGGTTCTTTACTTACAGTGGATTTTATTTTTATCAGATTTAAATCACACTGCCTAGTTTCTTTTCTTTTCATTTAGATCTTTTGCCTTAGGGTGTATGTGCTCACCAGAGAGAGAGAGACAGAGACAACGAGAGGGAAAGCAAGAAATCACCCCCAGGGGGATGGCCATGCCGCAATCCCTTCTCCATTCCCCTCTTGGGATTTTGGGCATACATGCACATTTGTCTATCTGTCAGGTTTTCAAGCCACCAGGTGTGCAGGACTTGAACTGCAGTCGGCCATGTGAGAGTCCCGCAATGTAACCACTACACCATCTGATGGTCCCACTGCTTGGTTTCTTTTAAATATTATAAGAGAAAAAAGGAAATCCAGAGATGGGGCTTTCCTAGCACAAAGATGTTTAATACCTTCAAATGAAGGCTTTGCTGGAAAACAACTAAAGAAGTCTGTTGACAGACAAAAGAAATTTAGTTGAATGACAGGTTTTGCTTGAGTCTACTTAATCAATAGTAATCTCTGGGTTTGTAGATTTCATGAATATATAAAATTTAGTGACTAATATGCATATTTTGTGGGTAAACTCCCTGAGGGCAATCAGACGTAATTTTCCTTTCTCTATTAATAATCGACTTGCTTAGTTTTCTACTGTAACTATTAATACTGAGGGTCCCATAGGTGGCCTACGGCACAACTAAACAGAGGGGCTACAGGTTCTGGAAACTGCGCCACCTGTGTGCGCCTCAGGATCTACTGATCCAGATGCTGTGCTGCTCAACAGACTTGCTTTCTTCTACTTCACTGCTCCCTTTTGCTCTTTCTACTGGTCTCTAGACACCTCAGATCCTCTCATAGTATTTAAGTTATGTATTTCTTACATGGAAACCTAACTGATTAATCTCAAAAACGTTACAGTTTTACTGGGAATGTTATAAATATGTAGAAACACACGTATTATTAATGACTTAGGTATTTTAAGTACTTAAAAAGGCTGGATGCTTGGTCCTTTCACTTAAAAAAACTTTTTTAGTTTGCCATAGGGTAACAGAGACAGAGAAAGATGGAGAGTGAGAAATCGCACCCCGGGGGGATGGTCATGCTGCAATCCCTCTTCCTCCATTCTCCTCTCCAGATCCTAGACATGCCTGCACAAGACCCTGGCATAATTTTCAAACCATCAGGTGAAAGACTCAATCCTTGGCTATGTGGGGATCCAGAGCCTTAACCACCACACCACCTGTTGGCCCCAGCAAGTATTTTTAACTGTATTAGTGTCTATGAAAAATTTTCATACAACTTTAATACTTATTCAACCTGTATTAATTCCCCCTTATGGATTTAAATGTTCAATTAAAAACTCATTTTTTAAAGCTATTTTATGGAAATAATAATTTATGAAAAAAAATCATTATACCTGTTCTCTGATAAGCATGGTATTGCAGTATTCACAGATGACGTTTGCCAAAGGACAGTTCTGGTCATGGATCTAAATTTTATTAAGAGATATATAAGAAAAGCATGAGAAAAATATGAAAAAAGTAGAAACAACCAATTTTTATAAATGGTAATTTCTTTACTAAGAACACATTAAGGACATTAATTTGAATAAAGTGAAAACACGAGAATAATAATATTTTCTCTCCCTTTGCTAGTATAATAATATTAATTCAGGCTTCCAGCTCTTCACAAAGAATGTAATAGAGAATTTTTAAAATCATTCCCTTTTAACCTGAGGCAGAGCATCTGTGACTAGTTTGGATATCATCTGTCAATGCTGTAATTCTCCAAAAGCAACCTTCTTCTGAAAGTTTTCAGCAGCAACATGGTGACTGAAATAAAACTCTATCAGTAGAGCCGAAGAACAAATGCACTGTTGGGGGAGGGGTTCTGGTACCCAGGTTCTCATATGCCCCACAAGGGTGATTTCTGCTTTCTAAAATACGATGACTTTAGTTGATGCACTAAGAAATAATTAACCTTGCAGGTTAAGGACATCTCCTTTACTGATACTGAGGAAAGAGATGTCAATTTGCTGTCACTGTGACTGAGACTTCTCTACGGTTTTAGCGAACTGGCTGATTTCTTTTGAATATTTCATAAATCTAGTGACTATAACATACCTAATCTCATAAGAAAGTATGGAGAGCATCTTCCCTCACTCAGGATAGAAAGTGGCCAGGCATCTTCACCTTCGCCTCTGTTGGGTCCCTGGGTGCAGCTAAGGGTTGTGAAGTCCTACGCCAGCCAGAGACCTCCGCGTTAGCCAGGATAGAAAACAGTCAGGTGTCTTCACCTCAGCCTAAATTGGGCCTGTGGGTGCATCTCAGGGCTATGAAGCCCTCCCCCAGCCAGGGACCCCCACCCACTCTAGACACCCGTGTTAGCCAGGTAGGCAAGCAGCCCCCTCTTGCTCTTCTCTGTCCCTTCAAACTTTTTTTTTCTTAAAAAAACAAACAAACAAACAAACAAACAAACAAACAAATCCCAGCTTCTCTGCCCTGCTTGTGCCTTTCTCTTGTTAATTTCTCACTTATTCCCTCACTCAGGATAGAAAGCAGCCAGGCATCTTCATCTCAGCCTGTGTTGGGCCTTTGTTCCATGCATGCTGAGTGGTTTTCCATTTTAAACCCAATTTCATTTTCTGCCAAGTGATTTCTTTTTTTTTCTTTTTTCTGTTTTTTCTTATTTTCTTTCTAGTACTTTCATTCTTTTTCCTTTTTTTTCCCCTATTTCTACTGCCTTCATTGTTTTTCTTTTACCTTAGTTTCCTGTTTTACTGCTCAGCCCTTACTCACTGCCTAGAGACAACTAGGTTCATAGTAGCTGAACATCTGAACATTGTGAATTTTAGAGAACTCTTTGCACCTCACTGTAGTGGTTGCAAAAATAGTGAAATTCCTCTTCATAAATCCAATTGCAAAAGTCCTGTGGTGATTCCCACATTGGAGGACACAGTAGAAGGGAGAAAACAGCACAAATCATTTCACAGTGGGGGGAACACAAGAGTTCACAGTCACAGAATACTTCTCTAACAAACTGTCCAAAAGTGAATACATTACCAAATGACTAAGAATCAAAGAAGAGCCTCAAGATCGAGAGAATCAAGTAGTACATCTCCAGCAAGGTAACACTGTAACTTGTTTCCAAGTTGGGAAAAATTAGAGGATATTACCGAAAAGTCATAAAAAGAATTTAGAATATTTATGCTAACAAAATTCAATGATATGCAAGAGAATAGACACACTGAAGTCCAAGAGATGGGAAAGTCCTTCCACGATATGAAAGAAGAACTGGACACCATAATAAAGAATCAAACGGATCTTTCAGATATAAAGGGTGTAATACAGGAAATTAAAACCTCCCTTGAAAGTATCAAAAGCAGGTTAGACCATGCAGAAGACTGATCAGGAGAAGACAAAACCAATGACTTAAAAAAATTATCAAAAATACTGAGAAAACAGCCAAGAAAATTGAGGATATTATACGAGAAATACTAGATACCATGAAATGCCCAAACATCTGAATAATTGGTATCCCAGAAGGTGAAGAAACAGATAAGGGCATTGATAAATCTACTACACAAAATTCTGGAAGAAAACTTTCCAAGTTTAGAGAGGCACTCAAGCATCCAGACCAAAGAAATATGAAGAACCCCAAGAATCATCAGTCCTCTCCATGGCTCATCAAAGCTTCACTGGCCAAAACCACAAATACAAGATACTAAAATTGGCAAGAGAGAAAAGTCAAATCACTTACAAGAGCTATCCCATCAGGCTAACACTGAACAGCTCATCAGATACAATGTAAGCAAGGAAAGAATAGGGAAATAAATTCAAAGTGTTATTTAAAACAATTTCAACAAAGAATACTATACCCAGCAAAATTATCCTTTATATAGGAAAAGATAAAAATATTTTCGAATAAACAAAACCTGAAAGAATTTACCAACTCCAGAACAGCTCTTCAAGAAATTCTGAAAGGAGTACAATACCAAGAAAACTAAAGACAGATTGACAGCAATAAGAGAACAAAAACCAACCAAGAATATGGCCAACTTAATGGTAGGGACATGTCTGGAAGTATCAATAATAATGCTCATTCTTTTCCAGCTGAAACCATGGAGGGCGTTCAAGAGAAGAAAAAGAAGGTTCCTGCTGTGCCAGAAACCCTTAAGAAAAAGTGAAGGAATTTTGCAGAGTTGAAAGCTAAGCACTATTATAAGGAATACAGATAAATGCACAGAACTGAGATTCACATGGCCACGATGGCAAGAAAAGATGGCAACTTCTATGTACCTGCAGAACCCAAATTGGCATTTGTCATCAGGATCAGAGGGATCAATGGAGTGAGCCCAAAGGTTCGAAAGGTGTTGCAGCTTCTTCGTCTTCGCCAGATTTTCAATGGCACCTTTGTTAAGCTCAACAAGGCCTCAATTAACATGCTGAGAATTGTGGAACCATATATTGCATGTGGTACCTGAACCTGAAGTCAGTAAATGAACTGATATACAAACGTGGTTATGGCAAAATCAATAAGAAGCAAATTGCTTTGACAGATAACTCTTTGACTGCACGATCTCTTGGTAAATTCGGCATCATCTGCATGGAGGATTTGATTCATGGAATCTATACTGTTGGAAAACACTTCAAAGAAGCAAATAACTTCCTGTGGCCCTTCAAATTATTTTCTCCACGAGGTGGAATGAAGAAAAAGACCACCCATTTTGTAGAAGGTGGAGATGCTGGCAACAGGGAAGACCAGATCAACAGACTTATTAGAAGGATGGATGAATCCACCATGATTATTTTTGTAATCTGGTCAGTAAATAAACTGGCTGTTTTCAGACTGCAAATAATAATAATAATAATAATAATACTGCTCAATGTTAATGGATTAAATTCTCCAATCAAGAGACACAGACAGGCCGAATGGATTAAAAGTCAGAAACTTTCCATCTGCTGCCTATAAGAGACCTATCTCATGGATAAAGACATACATAGCCTACAAGTGAAGGGCTGGAAAAGGGTATTCCATGCTAAAGGAAACCAGGAAAGAGAAGTCACTATAATGATTTTGGACAAAATAGGCTTTATGACAAAAACTGTAAAAAAGACAAAGAAGGGTACTATATAGTAGTAAAAGGTCTAACTGACCAAGAAGATATAACACTTGTAAATATCTATGAACCGAACTCAGAAGCACCCAAATACATAAAGGAAAGACTGCTAAATCTAAAAGAGAAATAGACTGTAACACTGTAATTGTTGGACATCCCATTATCTCCTTTAGTCAGGTCAACGAGACAAAAAAACAAGCAAAGGAATTCAGGACCTAAATAATACCATAAATCAGATGGACTTAATAGAAGACATCTAATAGAAATTTCCACCCAAAAAACACAAAATATACATTTTTCTCTGCTCCGCATGGTACTTTCTCAAAGATTGAACACGTGATGGGGCACAAAACCAGTCTTTACAGATTCAAAGGCACAGAAACTATATCTACTATCTTCTCCAACCATGACAGATTAAACTTGATATTAATCTCAGGAAAAACCCTGAAAAATATACAAATACATGGAAACAAAATAAGCTACTTCTGAATGACTTCATGACTACTGAAGAGATTGAGACGGAAATAAAAAGTATCATGGAAACAATTGATAATGAGTGCACAGGTTTCCATAATTTATGGGACACAGCAAAGCAGTCATAAAAGGGAAGTTCACAGCCATTAGTACACACAAGATAAAGATGGAACAGTGGCAAAAGGATAACCAAAATAACAAAAAAAATAAAAAAACTGCCAGGAGAAAAGAAATAATAAAGATTAGAGCAAAAATAAAAGAAATAGAAAATACACACACTACACAGAAAATAAAGGAGAACAAAAGCAGGTTCTTTGAAAAGAGAAACAAGATTGACATACCATTAACTAGACTAAGAAGAGAGAAAGGAACTGTATAAATCAAATTTGCAACGAATCAGGCAACATTACAACAGATATAACAAAAATACAAAACATCATTAGTAGATACTATGAGCAACTCTATGCCAACAAAGAAAACATGGATGAGATGGACAAATTCCTGGACACATATAATCTACCAAGATTGACGCAGAATGACATCGAAAGCCTGAATAGACCAATAACAAGCAATGAGATTGAATCAATAATAAATAACCTCCCAATGAAGAAAAGCCCAGGTCCTGATGGCTTTACTGCTGAATTTTACAAAACTTTTAAAGAATTGTAACCCCCACTGTACTCACACAGTTTCTAGAGATCCAAAAGGAAGGAACCCTTCCAAATTCATGAAGACTCCATTACCCTCATTTCCAAAATGGATAAGGATACAACAAAAATGGAAAACTATAGACCTATATTTCTGATGAATATAGATGCAAAAATTCTCAACAAGATATTTGCTAACCATATCCAACAACATATGAAAAAGATTATTCATCACAACCAGGTAGGCTTTATTCTGGGGACGCAAGGGTGGTTCAACGCATGGAAAACCATAAATGTAATACACCATATTAACAAAAAGACAGACAAAAATCATATGATCCTTTCAATTGATGCAGAAAAAGTATTTGACAAAAAACAACATTCATTTATGATTAAGACTCTCTGTAAAATTGGCATAGAAGGGTCATTTCTCAGTATAGTAAAATCCATCTATGAAAAACCTATAGCTAACATTATATTGAATGGAGAAAAGCTGAAAGCTCTTCCACTAAAAACTGGTACATCACAAGGCTGCCCGCTTTCTCTGCTCCTATTCAATATAGTACTGGAAATCCTAGCCAATGTGATCAGACAAGAGAAGGAAATCAAGGAAAGAAGAGCTGAATTTATCTGTTTGCAGGTGACATGATGGTATACATAGAAGACCCAATAGTATCCAAGAAAAAACTTCTCTAAGTAATAAATACATACAGTAAAGTGGCAGAATACAAAATTACCTCACAAAACTCTATGCATTTCTATATACAAATAAGCATACAGAGACAGAACTGAAGAAAGTAATCCCATTTACCATAGCCACAAGAAGTATAAGATACTTAGGAGTAAATCTAGCCAAGGAAGTCAAAGATCTCTACAAGGAAAACTATGAAAATCTTAGAAAGGAAATTGAAAAGGACAACAAAAAGTGGAAGGACATCCCGTGCTCCTGGATTGGCAGAATTAATGTAATCAAAATGGCAATCCTGCCCAAATTAATCTATATATTTAATGCAATCCCTATAAAATTACAAGAGATATTCTTTACAGACCTAGAAAAGACAATCATAGAATTCGTCTGGAATCCTGTAAGACCCGGTATTGTCAAAGCCATCCTGCTAAAGAAGAGTGGAGTGGGTGGCATCTCACTCCCTGACCCAAAAATATATTACAAACCTGTAGTAATCAAAACAGCATGGTATTGGCACAAAAACAGTAATGAGGACCAATGGAACAGAATAGACACTCCAGAAATAAATCCCAAAACATAAAGCCAACTGATATTTGACAAAGGGTACCAGTCAATCCAGTGGGAAAAAAGAATCCTCTTTAGCAAATTGTGCTGGAAATACTGGATATCCACCTGCAGAAAGATGAATCTGAACCCCTATCTGTCACCATTAACAAAAGTCTAGTCAAAGTGGATCAAAGATCTAAACTTAAGGGACCAGCAGTTAGTGTAATGGCTATGTCACTGGACTCCCACATAGTCAACCATGGGTCGCGTCCCAGATCTGGTGGCTTAAAACTCACACCAGGCGCGGGTGCGTGCGTGCCCAAGATCCCAAGAGGAAAATGGAGGAGAAGGGATTGAGGCATGGCCATCCCCCCTGGGGGGTGATTTCTCGCTTTCTGTCTCTCTGTCCCTCTCTGTCTGGCGAGCACAAGCGCCCTATAGTAAAAACCTCTCAAAAAAAAAAAAAGATATAAACTTAAGACTGCAAACTACAAAACTACTGGAGGAAAACACCGGGGAAACTCTGGGAGAAATTGGGGTAGGCAAAGACTTCTTAAACAAGACCCCCAAAGCACTGGATATAATCCCCAAAATAGACAGGTGGGATTACAACAGATTAAGAAGTTTCTGCCTAGCAAAGGACACCATAATTAGTGTGAATTGACAACCTTTGGAATGAGAGAGAATTTTTGTTAACTGTGCCTCACATAAGGGACTGACAACCAGAATACACAGGGAACTCTAATAGCTTAACTGGAAGATAGGAAAATGAGCTAAATAGACAATTCTCTAAGGAAGACATACAAATAGCCAAAAAGCACATGAAAAAAATGCTCAACATCCCCCATTGTAAGGGAGATGCAGATCAAAACCACTATGAGATACCACCTAACCCCAGTCAGAATGGCAAAGATTAAAAAATAAATAATGATAAATGCTGGAGGGGATGTGGTGAAAGGGGAACACTCCTACACTGTCGGTGGGAATGTAAATTGGTCCAGCCC